AAGGAGGATCGACTTTATTTTCAAATAAGCAGACGCTGTGGAGAACTACATTGGTGAGCCAATGAATTTTATTTTACATTTCTTCTTGTCATTTTATTCCGTTAGCATTAAATTCATGGTAACGAAATAAAATGACAAAGATACAAAAATGTATCAAATAAATTTGCTCACCTGCAATTTATAATGGCGCATTGTAGTCACCTTCGTGCCCGAAAGTTCGTTCAATCTCAGCTGCTCAACATTTTCAGTTATTTGCTGTTGTATCACCGATTTTCAAAATGCAAATGATCTGTTTATTTTCAAAGAATAGTTTGTTTTGTTATTGTTTGGTTGGTGTCTTATATGAAACTGCGACATTGCGCAATTTATTGGACAGACTTGTTTAAGATCACATAGCGTAATTTGGGTGGCGTTTTATTTCGTATTTTTAAATCATCTTTTTATTTTTGACTATCTGTAAATTTAGTTTCCTGCTCTTAATTGCGAATGCATACTTGATGGTTTTAAATGCTCCTGAAATTAAGTGCTGCTTGACGAGGCTATACAGTATTATGTTCATGTGACGTCACTGAAGGCCTACGGTTGAAATGCACGGCCTGCCACTGGCTGTTACCCATCGCCTATTTTACCTGGCAAAAGTTGAGTAAGGGAAGTGCCAGCACTTACTTTTTTCCCAACTTAAAGCACTGATTAAGGCTACCTTAAATGTGGCTCCATCAGGAAAAATGTGTTCTCCGTACCCCTCTCTCCAATTAAGGTAGAATTTGCCAACGAATTTGTTGCCTGTTGGCCAACAGTACATTCCATCACCATGCCTGTAGTCTTTGTAGAAAGAACCCTCGTAGAACTGCACAGAGCATCAACGGTGCAGATGTTAGTTATGTGTTTCGCACAGATAACATGTACATTTCAGAAGAGACAATATAAGTTCCATAATTTAATAGATTACACCTTGAAGAACAAAATGTTTGGCTGAATTGGGACTTCTCTGAACTGTTCTAACCCCCTGGATTTTTTTTTAGTGCAAACAGGCGTTCGACAGAAAATCATCGCTGCACCAAAAGTGGTAGAAACAGTATCTAAATGTATCTTTTCTCTGTACCATATGTTTCACTCGCAGCATTTTAGTAATGTACTTTTTGTTTTTCTCTTGGCTGATTTACAAAACTAGTGCAGGGTCGCCCCTCCCTATATACAAGTAACACACAATGCATAGCGCAGCATCGTCTGTGGGGGACAAGAGGGGACGCATGACGATATTTTAACTATCATGAATTTAAATCTCGAGCAAATGTAAACAGAATTAAACACGGTTGCTATGGCTCTCCCGGTTTCATCTTACCTCTCCACTTTTCCAGGTGTACCTCCCCTTCCCGTGTTTGAGGCCATTGACAAAATCCCCCTCATATTTGGAACCGTCGAGAAACTCCTGGACACCAAAACCCTGTCTTGGCACCTCGCCGCCTTCTCTGTTCGGACTCGCTGACCGCGGCTTCATCGCAACTGCTCACAGCAGCTTGTCGGATTGACAACATTCGAACGGGAACTCAAGTGGAAATCAAGAAAAATAACACCTGGGTCCGTTTGCCGATAGTAGCATTACAATGAATGGCATTATTATGAAAGCCAGCGTCATCGTAAAGACATCTTAGGATTTTTTTTTCAAATAAAAAAAATCTTGGCTTCAAAATAACATTTAGGTGACGTCACAGAAAGACGAAGTCACTAGTGATTGGACAGTAACCGTTCATAAATGCAAGTACTGTATGGCAATCTTCCTTTTCACACTTTCACTCACACTATTTCCTATTTTAAGCTTTGAAATAACTCAAATAAACAAAAACCCCGAAAGCTATCGATACTTGCAAAAAATTTCTTGTAACGTATGAAACCCCGGGGCATTTTTTTGTTCTTCTATGTTGTACACTAGTATACTGTTAATTCATGTTTCGAATTTGTTCTGTTCTTGTTATATTAAAGACATACACGCTGCAAACGTGCGCGCGCGCGCGCGCGTGTCTGTGTGTGTGTGTGTGTGTGTGTGTGTGTGTGTGTGAATATATATATATATATATATGACATCTATACTGTCCCAAGTTGACGTCAACAGTCACTAAAAAGGCAAGCAATAATGGGACCGCTGCATAAAGTGGCTGTACACGGACAATTCATGCCAACTGAGTTTACAGAATTCCTGATAATTTGTCAATCTTAGTGACAAGATGTTTAAATCATATTGTAACTCGCAGTTTTGGGATTATAACAAGCGTGACATTCAAAATGTACGAGTCATGCCGTTTTGCTGAGTTACAGCAAAACGGGATGGTTAAGGACTTAATCGGCTGCAGTAGAAACATCAATTAGCAAAAAAAAAAATATTCTTCACAAATAATACATCCATCCATTTTCCAATCCACTTATTCTCGGAAGGGTCGCGGGGCATGCTGGAGCCTATCCCAGCCGTCTTCGGACAGTAGGCGGGGGACACCCTGAACTGGTTGCCAGCCAATTGCAGCGCACACATAGACGAACAACCATTCACACTCACAGTCACATCTAGGAAGAGTGCTCCATTAACCTGCCATGCATGTTTCTGGAATGTGGGAGGAACCTGGAGTACCCGGAGAAAACCCACGCAGGCCCGGGGAGAACATGCAAACTCCACACAGGGAGGCCGGAGCTGGAATTGAACCCGGCCCGGTACTTCTGCACTGTGAGGTCGCTGCGCATATATATATATATATATATATATATACACACACACACACACACACACACACACACACACACACACACACACGCACGCACACTCACACATGTAACTGGTTATTAATTTGAATAAAATATTGGTTTGATAGTAATTATATCAAAGTAGGTTATGTTGGGGGAAGAGCGGCTTCCTCTTCCCCGCATGTTCGTTGAATTTCGGAGGAGGAGAATGTTGGTAATCCAAATAAAGGCTGGAGGCGATGTACAGTTCCTTCGAAGGCTTTTAATTTATTTTTCTGCAGTTTACGAATCGATTCGGGCTCCTGAGGGGTCCAGATGTGAATCAGGAAGCAGATACTTGAGATAACAGTTCCTCTTTTGATGTTGACATGTCCTCTGGAGGGGTCATAAAAGTAGTGGGGGTGAGGGGGTACCAAAGGTGATTGTAATCACAGTAAGCAGGAAATACCTTCAACAGCATTCTACGTTGTTTCTTTCAAATCCAGCTAACAGAGAGGAATCATATCTTAACAGTTTCTTAAGCACGGAAATTACAACCGAGTTGTTGTTTCAAATCCGAAATGCGGTACATAGTCTCCCAATCAGAATGTTGTTTTGTCCCCTTTGATTTTTTTGTCACTATCCGGCTGGTGTCGGTGTATTGCTGTTGCTGACAGTAAAACAAAAAAAAAATCTTCCATTAGTTTATTTGTTACCACATAAATACATACACACGTCACTGACACATCTGCTTGAATGTGAATCACTGTAACAGGGCCAGTAAAAAAAACAAAACAAAACAAAAGTACTCAAAAATTGCTGTTTTAGTATTTTATATGTGGAACGGAGACTGCTAGAAAGCAATAAACCACTGCGTTGCATGTGTAACAGTACTGTTGGGTTGGTCCCAACTAGTATTCATGATCACTCACGAGCTTCCTTACTCATAGCAAAGCGCAGTCCCTCAATAGCTGCAACACAGATATTTCAGACAACAGTTCCTCTTTTGATGTTGACATGTCCTCTGGAGGGGTCATAAAAGTAGTGAGGGTGAGGGGGTACCAAAGGTGATTGTAATCACAATAAGCAGGAAATACCTTCAACAGCATTCTACATTGTTTCTTTCAAATCCAGCTAACAGAGAGGAATCATATCTTAACAGTTACAACAAACATTTTCAAATACATTGGTTAAAACAAAACAAATCAACAGAGGAGAAGAGAGTGGTCGACAATTGGGGGGTCTTTTATTGGTCACTCTTTAAAATGACTTTATTTAAAGCTCTTCATGTTTCACTCCCATCAAACGTTCCTTTCCGGCTTCTCAGAAGTGTGGCACTCTGACTTGAGAACTACTGGCTTCATATAAGATAAAGCAGTCTTCAGTTCAGAAGACACACACCTTTAAATGTGCCACCCACCCCCAGAAGTCTTTGAAGTAAAGGTTTATATGCACATGTGTAACAAAAAAAATCTTTCCTCACAATACAATCAATAGCCTAATCGTGAAACTGATTTGACAGAGGATATTAGGAAGCAGCACTGGCACTTGCACCATGGAAAATCCATTCTTTGAGGAAGTCTACCTAATAGGGGTTATTGTTCAGGTCAATATACCCTCACAGAGCATCACACTACGAACAGTTTAGTCTACAAATATGGTAAATTTGGCCCTATGATGGCTCTATATACAAGCTACGAAAGTGAAAAAAAAAAGCATTTTTGATAGTTTTCTAGAATAGATTGATAAAAATAAAAGCTTGGTTTAATTTATGCAGAATCAATACTAGTAAATAATCTAGTTCACAAAACCAGAGAGGTACATAAACGTCAGCAAAAAAATCTATTAACTCGAAAATAATATTGTATAATATGAAGCCTCAAAAAACAACCCCCCCCCAAAAAAAAACAAGAAGCTGAGTGAACGAAGTGCAGAGTCAGAATTAGATCAATCAAGTTCAAAATAATTTACGAGCAAGTCACACGTTCTGTCAGTTGTAGCTGTAGTTTTCATTGAGGCTGACACGTTGGGTCTTCAAGACATCTTCAGTTCCAACAATTTGGGATTTGAACTGGGCATTTGAAGATGTGGGGATTTTAATAGATTTCAATACAATACTCGACTCTATGGGGTCTTGTTGGTTCTGCAACAGGAACGTTCTCTTGAAACTCTCAGGAGAGGCTGGGAAGGGAGAGAGAAAATAGTAATTGTCGTACCATGAAGTCACAGTTCTGTTTTTTTCAAGCTCCTGAGGTTAATTGATAAAACGGTGTCTGATTCCCACCTGATTCCTGCAGACACTCTTCCCTGTGTCTCTCATCCCACGCTTTAAGTTTACAAGTTGCAGAGCAATAGAAAACGCTGTGGCAGCGAGTACAAGCAGTTAGCCTCATCGCAGCAGATCGACCGCACTGGTAGCAGAACTTAAACAAAGGTGACCTGAGAAAGGATTCAGACTGTTCGTACAGGATAACAACAACAGGGGTTTATCTCTGCAGAATATGTGAGAGGTTTTTGATTTGTGCTCATATGCACCTTTGTTTTACTGCTGTGGGAAGTTTAGTTGCATGGCTGGAATCGGCAGCAGAAGAAAGGGCACTTTCACCTGTGAGAAAAAAACATTTATTTTAAACTGTCACCACAATGACTTTACTTTAACTTACAATTCGGGAGCAGTTTCTTTTCTCTCTCTTGTTGTTCTTTCTCTCTTTGGACAGCAGTCTCTCTGAGCAGACTTGCCATCTTGCCGAGGAGGCGACGCCGTGCTCTGAATGTTTCTCTCTGCTCCATGTTAAGGGTATGGAAGGGTGTGTGGGCAATACGCAAGTCCTAGACAGTGGTGCAGCACGACTGTTTTAGATGCAATTACACAATAAGACGCCACACATTTAACTCTATTTACACATCGTACAAAATGTACCATAAAATCATGGAGGATAAATAACAAGGGTAACACATATAAACATACAGTACCTTCAAAAAGTGAGACCAAATTGTAGTGATAAATATTCAGAAACATTGATTTGTCTTAAAATGTATTTGGTTAAAATTCATAAAGTTGTCTTACTTGGTCGAAGGAGTGATGTGCATAGTCGACCACGTTTCCCATTGTGTCACCGACCTGGACTGGCTTCAGCATGTCAGCACCAGACTTTTGTAACATGTCCAACTATGACAAACACATTAATACAAAGACGTTCCCAATAATTCCCTGCTTATGTTTTTACCTCATCAGGGGTCACAGGTGAGCCGGAGCTCACTTGAACATGCTGCTGACTTTGAGTGGCATGGTACAACCTGGACTGGTCGCCAGGCAATCACAGGCTACAGACAGACAACCATTCAAATTCATACCTACAGACAATTTTGAGTCTTGAGTTAACCTAAAATGCATGTTCTGAAACCTCAGAACTGCGAGGCAGATGTAATAACCACTCATCACCACCACACTGCCAAAACACTTCGTGATCTGAGATTTTTCGGGGGGAATGACGGATATACTTGGGTTTTAATAAATTTCAAGATGTGGCAGATGATAGAAGACCGCAGCAAACATTATTACCTGAATACATTGGTGAATGATAACATCCATGTGTAGGTAAATACCAGTTTTGCCCTTTTGCCATCCAAGTTGTAGCAGAAGTTTGTGACAGCACATAGGGCATTGCCAACTCCACAACCCAAGGGAATTTTGGGATCTGCACCTCCTTTTAACAGCTCCTCCACTGACTGCGCAAGGAAAAAAATTAAGACATTAATTAATAGTTAGACTGTCAAAAGATTATTGGACGTTTCAGACTGTCCATTTAAGAGTGTGTGTCAAGGTAATGTTACCATTTCATTGCCACTTGCAATAGCCAATGAGAGTGGCGAGTGTCCACTCCAAAGGAGATCTGTTCTGGCTCTATGGGAGAGCAACAGGGATACCACCTTGCTGGCATTCTGGATCAGACGATGAAGGGGGAAAAAAAACAAACATCAAGTCGATTGAAGAGAAAGGGTGATGCAAAAATCACCATTTGTTTGTAGATTTTTTTCCCCAGGATTTTCCTTCTCTAGGAGCAAACTTTGGTATAGAAGGCTGTGTTCAAACAAATTTGTTGGTGGACTAAGGAAGAACCCTTGAAATTGGTAAGTGGTAGCAGGGATGTACTGGGACCAAAATTTGGCCAGGGAATATTATTCGCTGGCCAGGGGTGGGGGGTGTTGCGGCCACCAACAGTCATGCCTCATAATGTAGTCGTCGATGGCGTGGTGCAGAGTTGGTGGGGGGTTGAGGCCGTGGGTGCCTTCACCAGCCTTCATGCGCCTGGATGTAATTGTCGATGTGGGGGAGTGGGTGTCACATGGCGCACATCACACTACGAAAGTTAATCGGTGATGGGGGGCGGTGGGGAGGCCATCACGGGGTCGGACCGGCCCGTAAATAGATGGAACACATTCTCCCAAAATTCCAGATGTCAGCACGCCCCAGGGTGAGGAACCACACTTTCATTAAAATCCTTGGATATAATGCTATGATGCTAAACACAGCATATACTGCAGATGCTCAGCCTCTGTGCAGTGAAGTACATCATTGTACCTTGTTCATGAAATCAACATTAAAACGAACACTTGAATGAATGACAAATCACTGACATTTTATTACCAATATTTAACAACACAAACATTACTTTCTCTGCAGTGGAAAAAGTCCAAATTGGACTGCTACCTACAGTATGTACCGTATATGAAACCAACTGAATGGAACCTTGGCCTGTATATTTGTGTGCATCTTTGGTCATTCTGTGACATTGCTGGACTGTTTGTACTCACACAGTGATCACTTTCTCTCTGGCAGGCGATGTGCAGAGCTGTCCGACCTCCTTCTTCAGCAAATGGCTTCTCACTGGTGTGCCGTGATTTTCTCACCATCTTGCAAAACAGTTAGACATCATTAATAATTCAACCAATTTAAGTGTAAGATGAACATGCAGACCTGATCTGGTTCATAGATTTCATCCTGGTCACATGCCCGTGCGTCTGGGTCACATAAAGCATGGAGCAGCAGTTCTGTGATTTTGGGACCTTCTGGGCCTGTGAGTGCTGCAGCCACATGTAGAGGATAAAGGCCTCTCCTCTACAACACAGTGAACAGGTTAGCTGGCTACATTAGCTATGGAAAGAGGCGCATGCAGGCAAGAAGAGGCATAAACAGCTGACAACTGTTACTGTTTGGTAAAAAGACTCAGGAAAGATACGATTTGGTACCTCAGGTGAAAGACAAATATCTGTTTGAGCTCCACAAAGAAGAAGTCTCCTGACAGTCTTGGTATCAGCTGCCATAATGGCCAAAAAGAGGACCGGGAAGGGAACTATTGAAGCATTGGGGTTAGCCCCACGGTCCAACAGCAGATTCAGTGTGTGCAAACGAACACGGTGCCTGGTCCCACAAACGCATACGAATACATTTTTATAGCTACATCAAGAGGAAAAAAAAGTAGAGATAACAGACATACTCAAACTTCATGGCAGCCATTTTGCGCACAGTCTCCTGGGTATCAGAATGCCGGGGCACCACAGTGTGGCTCAGAGCTTCAGCTGCTGCCTGTAGAATTTCCTCAGAGACTTGCATGCTGGAGCTGTCCATGGATTGTGATGGGTTCCGATTTTTGATATGCTCCTTCTGCACAGACGTGAGGAAAAACTTAAAGACCTGACAGATGTCAAATCTAGGAAAGAACAGATCTTTGTGCTGCACACCTTCATACTTCGAGACGAACATTCTTTCCACTTCACATGGCCCACAACAATGTGTCCATCTTTCACCTGAATGGAACGCTCTGAAAAGAGCACCTTCTCCTCCTGATTGTTTTTGTCTTCCTTGTTCCTCCCTTCATCCTCAAGCAAAGATCTGAATTTCATTTGGCCATTGTCCTGACCTGATTCTGCATCTTTCTGTCTGGGTATGACTGGATTCTTTCTAGCATTTGTCTCAGTCCGTGTCTCCTTTCTGTTTCTCTCTTGGTCACTTTCAACAATCTCTTTTCTGTCCGTTTCCTTTAGTTGCTGATCTTCCGCAGGGGCCTCATGATCATTCAGGACAGTGGAAAGCTCACTGCAGCTGCTGCGATGGAAGATGATGCCTCCTGATGATTCCTTTGTCATCCTGGGGAGGGGGTGGGGGGCATGAAAAAAATAGGTGAACAAAAAGTACATATTGAAACGGATGAATCGGTTAGTTGGAGAGATACAAAGTGCACACACACTTATTGCAGCCTGTTTGTCTTTGTGTCCCCTGTGATTGGCTGGCAAACAGTTCAGGATCAAAATTTCAATAGCGATTTATTTTTTTTTTTTTTACATAGATCCATATTTTAGGTAGTGTATATTAATATTGAGGATAAACGATTCAAAAAAATCGATACACAGTAGTATATTGAATACATACAATGTTACTGACGTGATTTGTTTTCACAATACAATTGCAAGTTTTGCTCTCGACTTTTGAGATCTGCACCATAAATATTCTCAAAATTGCATTACAGTCGAGCTCCTCTTTTTATTTACTTTTATTTTTCAATCAGTTTCTGTCAGAAACATGACTTTTTTTATTTAGATTGATATCTATAGTTGTGCAAAACATGTAGGCTACTTTTGTTTACATTTGATCATTTTATGTGGCATTACAAGTGGATACATTTCTATTTTAAGACAGGTCTGTTTAATGTCACAAAATAAAGTGAGAAAAAGTAAGATGTAGGATGTTGTATAGAGTTTTTTTATAGAATATCTGAAAACATATCATGGTAGCAACGTTATTGATAAAACGGCTTATATTGTGATTAAAGATTGTTTTTCCATATTTTTGGTACAGGACTTGAAGACTAAATAGTTCAATATTTTTTAAGGTGGTACTATGTAAAAAATTTGAGACCTCCTCATATCGTGCAGGTAGTCAAAAATGCAGATTTCACACATGAAAGTATATGCCTACTGATCAGAGGTAAGATCCCAGGTGGTCTGAACAGTGTCACTTGTCTGAGGTCGGTTGTTTTGGCTCGATGAGTCTGTAGCAAAGTCTGGTGATCTGGGCTGGGGTGTTTTTTCACGCAATGACGTCAAACCCTGATGAGACATGGATCAATTATAGACTGAGTTGCTGAATCGAGAAAAGCTATTTAAAAAAAAAAAGTATGTAACGGCACCTGTGTTTGAGTTTGGGGTCCAGGAAGCAAGTCAAGAGGCTGAAAAGGATAGCAGAGGACATGACACACAGACAAGGCTGACAAACCTTCGCAATTGAGCATGTCAATATCGGCACCCATGTCTAACAGTAGGTGGATTACAGCATCATGGCAATTTACCTGTAGAACACAAAGAATAACATCAAAACACCTGTCAGCACTATTTAAAATTAGATCGTAAGCAGATAATTTAGAAAAGAATTGAGACAAACAAAATCACCAAGAAAAATATGTTGATTTTACCACAGCAGCAATTAATGCGGTGTGTCCCTGAGAATCTGCTACATCAGGGTGAACAAGGCCATCCAGGAGGATATTTAAAACAGCCTGTCGGTCTCCTCTGGAGGCGCGCTGGATCAACAGTTCTGATGTTACTTCCAACGATCCTTTCGGACCAAAGCTGTGTCTTTTTAATGAAAGGACTTTTGCTACATCCCAGTCCAAAGTTTCAGATTGTCGTCTGAGACACACAAAATAACACAAATTGACACATGCATAACCCTGTTCATGCAGGCGTTTCGTTTTGTACAAACAAGTTGCATATAACCTGTGTTTATGAATATGAGCCAGCATTTTGGCTGCTAATGGCAGAGTTGAGTGTGGATCGTGTTCGTTGCCTTCATGCACGCGAGAATCGGGTTCCCACAGCTGGCCATAAAAATGCTGGTCAAACTCTCTTCGAATATCCGCGGGCAATGGAAAGAGGTCAGTGGAATAATTCTCAATCTCATAAGGGAGGATAGTATTGTCATCATATTGCAGCAAATTGTCATCTTTCTCCGTCTAAAGGAGTGGAAACAATTGAGGTGAGTTTAATGGGTTACTGAAGCTAAATTAAGAAAAAGGCATGCTCCAGATTAATGACATGATTTGGCTTAAAACAACAGTATAAATCAAAAGTATTTTACGGGTAAGTAAAATAGAAAATTAAAATCATTCACCATTGTTTATGATCAGATATTATTATTATCACATTATTGTTGTTGGTGTTGTTGTTATTATACAGTATATTCAGTGTCCTCGCTGTCTCTAGCACAATGAGAAGTGTCAGCGAGGGATGAAAAGGAGCTTCCTTTCAAATTTAGTAAAGGACAGTGTATATTTAACAATGTATCAAAACGAAGCCCCGAGGTTGGAACTTCTCGATTTCCGGCTTGTATGGGTTTAAAAAAAAAAAACCAATGTCATGGCCGCATTGAACTTCATGCCTTACGCATGACTGACACCTAGGGGTCGAAACAGCGCTTAGCACGTATCGATAGACTGGTGGCTCAACACAGGTCCCTTAATTCAACACAGGACTTCAAAATTAATAGCTTATACTGTGTTTCATATTGTGTTACATATTTTGCTGATTATCTCTTCTATTTGGGGCAGTTTTTGATTTAAAAAAAAAGACTTGATTGCGCTGCTTCATAGATGCTATGCCTAACCAAATACATTTTAATATGTTCATTTTAATGAAGGGTTTCTGAGATGCGCCATAAATCACCCACACTGGATTTTAAGGACATTAAATATGGAAGAGTACAGTAAGACAGAAAAAGGGAAATAGCGGCCAATGCTTTCATAATAATTGCAAAACAATTCATATACATTTATGAAATTTGGATCACTGTTTGGAGGTTCTTGGAAGGAAATTGAGGAGTACAGTATTAAAACAAGGCATGTTTATGATAGTATGAAGATTTTATTTTCTGATTACACCTCTTTTTAACAATTACTTCCATCCATCTATCCATTTTCTGATCCGCTTAGTGTAATGCCCATTTTTAACCGCTTATGATATTTACAATACAATACAATACATTTACCTCAGATTCTGATTTGTCTTTTGTCTTAAGTCCATTAAAGAGGAATGGTTCCTAGTAAAAAGGCAAAGATGGATTTTCATATTCAGAATACAAAATCATATAGGATAATAATGTAGTCAACATATTTTCAAATGATGAAGGTCTACATTGATGAATACTTTTGTTGAACAATGTTTTGTAAGTATTTTTGCAACACAATATGACAGTATTTTACAGCACTTTTTTTTTTTTAACAATACTGTATATTAATTAATATGTCTGGTTATTTTACCTGAGTCTGAGAATATGAGACAGAGGTATGTTCCAAGTGGGCAGCATATTCCGGAAGGTTTTTCAGGCTGAAGCTCCCTTGTATGAAGTTACACATTTGTATCAGATGCTTCCCATGCCAGAGACCGACATCTTGACATCCTGTCGGCTCACTAAGCACACCTGGACCAAACCTCTGGTCAGCATGGTACAAACCCTGAAAAAGAGAAGAGGATAGTGTTGTCATTCAGTACTCATCATCTGTAAAGTCAACAGAGGTGGCAAATGTATGCAGACGGTAGAAGCACTTTAAATTCGAAAGTACTGATCGGAAGTATTTGTACTTGATTACTTCCCACCATTGAGAGTTGATTTCATTAAGGTTACCTTAAACGTGGCTCCGTCGGGAAAAATATGTTTTCCATATCCTTCTCTCCAATTAAGGTAGAATTTGCCAATGAATTTGTTGCCTGTGGGCCAACAGTACATTCCATCACCATGCCTGTAGTCTTGGTAGAAAGAGCCCTCATAGACCTGCACACAGCAGAAATGGTGGAGGATGTTACTTGTTGACTCACAATTAGGCACACTTGCACAAGTTAATGAGATCCACTACTGTATGGGATATCTGTCTATACTATATTATTCCTCTAAAGATAATAATGACCACTTTTCTCTTTTTTTAATAGTTGACATAGTCAGAGGTGTTCCCAGTATTTTGGTTACCTGCTTCAATAAAAGGGGGGACTCATGAAGAAGACCTGTGCCGACCGAGTATATAAAACATGACACAGCTTTTGTTTTAGGTCGTATTAAGCTGACTGACCAAACCAAATGTCCTATGAATAAATATCAATGTTCTGAAAGAACAAGATTGTGAGAAACCTGAACTTTAGCATAACAGCTGGTAAAAACAAGTCGACTTTATGTGTCTCTCTCCATTCCACTTTACCTCTCCACTTTTCCAGATGTACCTTCCCTTCCCGTGTTTGAGGCCATTGACAAATTCGCCTTCATATTTGGATCCGTCGAGAAACTCCCGGACACCAAAACCCTGTCGTCTCTCCTGTGCGACTTTTCTGCTCGGATTCCTTGCCCCCCACTCTTCAGCACCTTGACCCCTGCCCGCATTAACATCTCTTGGGCTTGACAACATTTGAACCGGAGTCTTGTTTTAGACAAAAAAAATTCTGCCGAAAACTACACGCGTAAAATGACGGGTAATAGATATGAACTGTTCCTTCGTACTTTCCTGGTTGTCTAGACAACAGTTTGAATTCTGCGCGGATGTTAACGTAATGCGCATGCGCAGCCGGTGAATAGAGAACCCTCTGAGCGTTTAATCGATATCCTTGAATTACTTAAAGTATGTTAGCGTTATTGGTAGGACAAATACATGCTACGAGTGAAGAAAAACTGTGAGCTACTTTACAAGGTACTTGTAGTACCGGCGAGGCACCAAATGTAAAAGGGTAGAGGCGTAGCCTACTCGTAGCACGCAGTTGTCAACCAGTGCGTAGTTTTTTCTCACTTATACATGAGGTTCTCTTGGCTACTAGTCTGCTAAAGTTGTCCTGCTTGTGAGGACAATGAGAGTACTCGGGCATTGACGTTAAAATGGATCTCGAATAAATGTAAAATGATAAGGAAGCTCGTGAGTGATCATGAATACTAGTTGGGACCAACCCAACAGTACTGTTACACATGCAACGCAGTGGTTTATTGCTTTCTAGCAGTCTCCGTTCCACATATAAAATACTAAAACAGCAATTTTTGAGTACTTTTGTTTTGTTTTGTTTTTTTTACTGGCCCTGTTACAGTGATTCACATTCAAGCAGATGTGTCAGTGACGTGTGTATGTATTTATGTGGTAACAAATAAACTAATGGAAGATTTTTTTTTGTTTTACTGTTCAGCAACAGCAATACACCGACACCAGCCGGATAGTGACAAAAAAATCAAAGGGGACAAAACAACATTCTGATTGGGAGACTATGTACCGCATTTCGGATTTGAAACAACAACTCGGTTGTAATTTCCGTGCTTAAGAAACTGTTAAGATATGATTCCTCTCTGTTAGCTGGATTTGAAAGAAACAACGTAGAATGCTGTTGAAGGTATTTCCTGCTTACTGTGATTACAATCACCTTTGGTACCCCCTCACCCCCACTACTTTTATGACCCCTCCAGAGGACATGTCAACATCAAAAGAGGAACTGTTATCTCAAGTATCTG